GAATGCACGGTTCGGCTTTTGAATATTCTACGAGAAGGGCGTGTTCACACTGTCAGACCAGACTGTCTTAATAGTAATTACGTGATCGAATTTAAATAACATATTTAGCCTTAACCCTTAAGGCCTTGAAAAATCGAAGTATTATTAATATTTCTCATATTTACCTAGTATATAGTCTTATAACTGTTGACATAATTTACTTATCTATACTAATATTATGAAGCTAAGGAGATTGTTTGTTTGGTTGAACGCGCAAATCTCAGGAACTACTAATCCTATTTGAAAAATTCTTTTTGCATTAGATAGCCCGTTAACTGAAGAAGGTTATAGGCTATATATCACCCCGGAAAAATGAACGGTTCCCGTGGGATAGATTTGTTGTTGCCTAGGGACGAATCCGAAGCGAAGCGAGATTGAATCGCTAGTATAATAAATTATTACTATGATGATGGTATGTTCAGTGTTTTTGATTAATAATTTTATATATGTATTTATTATATTTTATATACATAAATAATTATAAAACTATTTACTATAAATAGCCGAAAATCTTTTATTTATTTCATCTAAACAAAAATATATCGGCACAAAAAACGAAAATTTAGTACCTACTATGTATATACGAGTACATATTCACGTTAGTATATATATAGGTTAAAATTAGCTTGCAAGCTCTCTTTCCGGTGGTTCGACTATTTCGGGACGATATCCTGTCACCTACATGAGGACTCGTGCTAACTTCTTTAACTCTACGCTATTTCCTTTGTGAGTGAGCCTTTGAGTAATCAGAGCCCAGAGAGTGTTATCACTGTTATTTATAAACGTTTATTTTTGAATTTTCCGGCTTCGGACATGATCATTAAATATTAGTAGTGCTCGAAATTCTACCATTCAAATCATCCAACTTATATGAATAGATTTTACCTATCAAAAAAAACTAACTCTTCCAAATGTTTCTATTGATTTTTATAAACACTAAATGTCAATAACTACTAAAGAGAAAAAAAAATCGATTTGACAAAACGCGAAAAAAATATAATAAGGAAGGTTGACTATTTTGTGTTTACAAACTCTTTACATACTGTTTTACCATACTTTCGTTACTCCTACTTTACATGGGTCGAAATTATCTGGACACATTTTATCTTTAGTTTTATAACGAAATTTTCATCCAAACTTATTATAAACGACTTATCGGACTCCGCAATATTCTAAAACAACACATATCCACTGTGTTCATTTCGTTATCATATTTCTTCTACGTACCATTTCAGTGTTTTATAATAATCAATGTATCGTATCGTATAACTTTGGCCTATTCTTAAAGATTAACGCGCAAACCTTCAGAGAGATATTTTAATAACCAAAACATCTATTTCAAACATTTTACGAAACAATTAATTTGCTTACTTGACCTGCACTCGCTATTTGGTTATACTGAGTTAAGATAACTTATTTAATGTACAAAATTTACTTAAGACTTTTTATCTGTTAATATGCGCTCACTACATTCAATTTAGATAACCAGCTTCAACTTGCCCATTGAAGAAAATATACAACTTCAAACATAGACCATTAGTGAATTTTCTATTCATCATATACATAAAGGCAAAATTTTTCAAGTAATTTTATTACCGCAGCACTCTGTAGAAGTTGAAAAAGAATATTATAGTACATTATCCAAACGATGCCAAATTTGATCTTTATTGTTTACTGGAGTCTTTTCAAGAACTAATCTAAACTTAGCGTTGTTATAACCAATATTCGTTGTATTAAACAATATTTTCTTTAACTAAGATAACCACAATTGAAAACTTGGTTTCTGTTATATATTTTCATAAAGAACATTTCTGAATTTTAGTATTATATTGAAATTTTGTATTACGTTTGTGCCCACACTTTGCTTAAGTCCGCTAAACCTCAATAATTTTTATGTTATCGTTATATTATAACATGATTGTTCGTTGTATTGTATGTTATGATGATGAACTTGTATATTATTTTAAACTCCCGACGCAAAAAGAGGGGTGTTGTTTGACGTCGATGTCTGTTTGTCTGTGTCTGTGTGTGTGTGTGTGTGTGTTCGTTCGTAGCTCTCAAATGGATGGACCGATTTCGATGCGGTTTTTTTTCATTTGAAAGCCAGTTTCCTTGCGTTGGTTGTTTGGTTAATATTCAGCAGTGAAAGAGTATCAGCTCTTTTCCAAAATGATGTAAGGCATTTTGGCGTATGATTACTCGATTAAGTGCTTCACGCGTGCCAATGTAATCGTTAAATGACAATTAATTTGCGTAGGGGTTTTTTTTTATTTTAATTTATAATTATCTTAGTTATTTAAAGTTTTTTAGTCAACATATATTTCAATGGTCAATTCTATAGACACTTCTCTCAAATATGTATATGGTGATACGAGTATGATAGTATGTGATATTGTGTATGGTGTATATTATTAGTGTACTTCCGTAGTAATATTATAAATATGAAATTTTGTGAGGATGGATAGATGGATGGAATTCGTTACTCTTTAAAGCCAGAAAGGCTAAACGGACCTGGACGAAATTTGACACAGTTATAGATTATAATCTGGAATAGCACATAGGTTACTTTTTATCCCGGAAAAATTTACAGTATCCCGTGGAATAGATTTATTTTTGTCTAGACAAACGAGGGTGAGTCGTTAGTATTAAATAAGTACCTACTATGTCATGCGTTTTCATCATGTTTACATTCTCCACGTGCTACGTTTCATTATGATTTGCATTTGTAACAAATAAACTAACATTCATGTTTATAATGTGAGTATGATTGAACTAATAAATAGCATATGAAGCCAACCTTGACATATTTTCCCCACACTGTTGAAGTAGCGTGAAAGAATTTACTTCCTTATTACTTTTTTTGGACACTACTCGTAGGGTTCAAGGAATATGTGACTATATCACGTAATACGTTTAGGGGTTCATTAGTTACTGTGTATTTCCTCAATTTTAATCGTCTGAATATCGATAAGCATGCGTACAAAAATAGTCGTTGCTAAAAAAATGTATCGAAATTTCGTATTGGAACAAAGGCCAATGTCAGAATATGTTTGAACCAGACGTATACAAATATGTTATTTATAAATATTTAATGCACACGTGTGTAATACATATATACAAGTAAATAACTATGAATTTAAAGCTTATGAGCACTTTGTGCTAGTCGACCTTTAGAAAAAAAAATTAGGGTGGTGCAATAAAGTATTATGTAATTTCACTAAAAATAAAATAAAAACATGTACGTATGCCATACAATAAATATGGACCTCCGACTTATAATTATTACTTATCTTAATAAGTAATAAATTACCGTCATGTAATGATCTAAGTACCTAGAATCGCCAGGCATTGGACATTATTTAGATTAGATGGCGTTCAGAAGATTTTTATAACGTATGAAAATCACAACGCAAACATTTGTAAAAAATAACTATTTTATATGATATATTTATAACCTAGGTTATGTTAGTAAAATTTGGTATCTTTGGTACCGGTCGCATTTTTAAGTTTACATAGTAGTTTGTTCTTAATACAGTAAAAAAAAATCTTTATTTTTGTAAACATAACAAAAGCCCCTTGTAAAAAATAAAGTAGTATAATAAAACATACTGCTTCCATGTGTAGAAGTCATCGATTTTATATAAATGCCAAGGGCACGAACAAATTGACTAAGTGTGAATTGGATTCGAACGTCGAAGATTAGACAAGCGTCACTAAATATATTTCTGCTATGTTCATCGTATATATTTACTAATAAAAAAGGACCTTATGTACTAGCGACTCAACCTCGCTTCGCTCGAGTTCGTCCCTAGCTAGGTACATTTTAATTTTTTTGAGCGGAACCCTAATTTTATTACTGAAATAAAAGTAGCCTAAGTTACTCCTTAACATCAACTACCTGCCAGTGAAAGTTTTGTCAAAATCGGCCCAGCCGTTTCGGAGATTAGCCGGGACAAACAGACATACAGACAACAATTTTAAAAGTTGTGTTTTTCCTATAAATACCGTATATAATTCCATATGCACTTAGTTAAAGCTATTATTTTGATATTACGAACACTCAGACACTTTAATTTTATTTATCTGTATAGATTAAGTATATATATACCTTTCATTTGAATTCTTAAGCGACTTTACTTTAAAGTTTGAACTTTAATATTACTATTTTTAATGTCAGTATGTTCAAATACTGTTATATTACTAATATTTTAAATATGAAAATTTAGACTTTAGAATTTATGTAGATGGATGTTTATCGTTTGGATGTTTATTACTCAATCACGCCAGAATGACTGAACGGATCTGAATGAAATTTGGCACAGTGATAGATTATAGTCTGGAATAGCACATATGCTAGCTGCATATACTTTTTATCACGGATAAATGTAAAGTTCCCGTGGGATAGATTTGTTTCTGTTTTTCCCGCTCGCTTCGCTCGGGTTCACGTCTAAAGTCTGGAAGGCACACACTTGCTCTAAAGTCTAGACTATATTATATAAATAGGCAAATACAAAACAGTTCAGTACTTTTTTCTCCTCAGTTTGTCAACCAACTTTCTTTTTTTTTTTTTTGTTTATTGGCTATTGATAAGCTTGAGTGTTATCAATAAAAAAAATATTATGGTCGAATTTTGACCATTGGGCGAATACTATTTACGAGAAAGCAAAAACGAAAAGAACAGTACGAAAATCGGCCAAGTGAGGACCTTTCTCGCACGCTGAGGATTTCGTAGCATGAAACAATTTACTGTATTTTTAACCTAGGTACATAATTAAAATAAAATATTTATCCATCAACCTCGTTTATTTTATCGCCTGCAAATACACATTTGTATTTTATAGTATATTGCCGAATAACAAAAATATCTTTGCGGTCATGCATTCTTATTCTTATATTATATATATGTATTGTAATATTTAAAAATACTTCTGTTTGTTTCAGGGCCTGGGATAAAAGGCACGATGGCGATCCTCAACTGCCTGCTCGCTAGGCAACTTTGCTTTGAGGACGCCTCGTGTTCTGCTATCTTGGAGATCATCCCGCGTGTCTGTGGCTCTGAACTTGGTAAGTAAAATCTATACGTAAATAAAATCACAAGTTATAATACCGTAATACTAGTTTTAAACTCCGAATCCACTCATGATTGTGATAATAATTTTTATGTTACACAGAATGCTGGCAAGAAAGTATTTAATTTTAAAAGAAAAAGTTTGAAGGCGGCTATGAAATATTATATTTCAGTAAATAGCAGGTACATATATTATACATATATGTGAGATATTTGGCCGTTAGTTAGGACATCCGCCAAGTGACTTGATATAGTGGTTGGTGCTCGTAAGCAGTGCAATGGAGATCAACGGATTAGCCTACATGGAATTATTGCTTTCAGTGACAGTACTAAATTGTACAATAAATTAATAATTAACCGCTCGGCCCACGAAATTTAAAAGTAACCGATTTTCATACAAGCTACTACCAATTAGGGATCTACCTGCCTTTTAAGTTTGTAGCATTTATAGTTTCTGAGATTTCTTGATTAATCAGTAAATGGTGTTTCATTTTGTTTAAACAACGATATTTAATATAGGTACTTTTTTGCCTAGCAACCGGATTTGCTCAGACTATACGTAAGCCCTGTATAACCTTCAGAAAGTTTTTGAATTCGTTAAACTTGTGTCAATGATTAGTTGCTGGAGAGAAAACAAATTTGTATTTACTCGCTTACCTTTTATATTTTACATATTTATTAATTAGTAGCGACACACCCTCGCTTCGCTCGGGTTCGTCGCTAGGTACGTTTTAAATAGATATATAAATAGTTATTAGCCAGCGTTAGCCATATACATTTTTTTTATTTTAATATTTCTGATGTTTTAATACTTATCATCCTATTTCGGACTAAGAGAAATCCAACAAAATCAAATATCATAGAAATTGGTCCAGCCGTTCTTGAATTATAAATGGTGTAACTACGTGTTAGTTTGATTTATATATATATATATATATATATATATATATATATATATATATATATATATGATGATGTTCTCCTAGCCGATTCCGGCTACGGAGACTATCCAACTGCGCAGGAGATATTATAGTGCTCAAGTGTACGCGCAGACACAAGTGCACTCTCTATTCCTGTCACTCTCATACTCCGGTGGGACGATTGCTCGTCACGACCAGTGAGAGTTAAGGCGCAGGACCGACGGCTTTACATGCTCTCCGAGGCACGGGGGTGTAACGCCGCCAACTTCCCAACTCCGAGCTGTTACTGAGATTTACTATACAGAAAGACTCAATAACTAAACTAGGCCCGACCCGGGACTCGAAACCAGGACCTCCGAGTGTGCAGCCGTACATGCTAGCCACTACACCACCGAGGAATTATTATTATTTATTGATTTACGTACCAGAAAAAAAAGATACAAGTGAAATGATACCATGTGTACAAAGGATGACTTATTTTTTTAAGAGATCTCTACCAGAAACCCTCAAGTGTAAGAAAATATAAAAATAATAATGCGGTGCGGTGTATGTACAAACTAAAAACATCAATTATAATATAAATATATACATATACAAACATACATACATAGGTACATAGATACATACAAACATATTACATACATATATACCTATTACATATATATCCGTACATACATATACATAGGTACTTCAATGAATATATAATAAAGAAATCATGTGGAGTATTTAATAATCGATTTGAAGTAAACTTAATTAAATGCTTACAAAAAATTGTAAGTATACTAGAACATCTCGATTTAGTATTTTTTCTGCATATGTTATTCGTTAACTTTATTATTGTGAATCGATTTTAATGATTATTTTGTTAATGTATAGGCTTGTGTATAAAAAGTTTGTGTAGCAGCCCGGACTTCGCTGGTTATGTTGAATTGACGTCCTACTGGACTTTAAAAGTTATAGGAATAGAGAGTGCAATTGTGTTTGTGCACATATATAACCTACTTGTGCGATATAATATCTCCACACAGTTGGCTAGTCTTAGTTAGATTGGCCGCAATGGCCAAAAGGGATAAGAAACACAAGTCCGGTCAAAACTTAAGTTATCTCAATTTTAACCGCTATAACATGTTTTTATCGTAACCCTATTTTCATTACCTACACTAAATCTAGGAACACTTGTCGGAACTATTCATATTACGTATATATAAGTAAGAACATTCGTAGGATCTCTTGCATAATGGGTGCTCACAAAAGAAATACTTTTCTAACAAACGGGAAGGGGAAATTCACAATGGCTCGCTACTTTTAATTGAATTCGTTTGAAATACTTGTTACTACTACGAACTCCTTACACTATATGTATGTATATATGTTATTTTGTGTACGCACGAGATATAATGACTTTTGAACATATAATACTTTCTTAGATTTACGCGAATGTTTGACATTATTAAATAAAACTATCTTTTCGGATTATTTCGCGGATTTATTTTGATTTTTGGTTCCCGACGTTTCGAATGCTTTACAGCATCCATGGTCACGGGAGAGACTGAGGTGTTACATGTCTTAAATTAATGTCTTAAATTGTGGGCTCTCTTACATTGGACAAACAAAGCGATCCATTAGAACCCGGGTCAAAGAACACATAGCTGATGTGAAGCACCGTCGCAATACAACATCTGCTGTCTGCAAACATAGCCAGGACCGCCCAAGCCATTATATTCGTTTCGATAGACCTCAAATCCTGGCGAAAGAAAACCGATATCGCCCTAGAATGATTCAAGAAGCCATAGATGGAGATGGAGGAAGATGGCTGGGTACTACCATCGTCATGGGATCCTGTTATTAATATAATAAAATCAAATAATAAATATAAACATAACAGACAGGCAGATGTAGTAAGTTCATACTGTGTAGATCAAAATGACAGCTTATCAGATTGATATTTTTCATTTTTCATTTGTAAAAGTATATATTAATAGTGTTGCTTAGTAAGTTGTTTTGAAATAATAGCAAACTAAATTAAAATTATAATCCTTAATTAATTTTAACTTTTTAAATTACACATTGAACAATTATATGGCTTAAATAATTAATACTATATTTTATATTTTTCTTTATGGTTATAAATATAATAATGGCAACACTAAATATAGATTACTAATTAATATTTTTAAAATTGTAATAATTATAAAAATAATAACAAAAATTAAATAAATAATTTTCCATATTCAATTATAATTAAAATTATAAAAATGTTTAAAGTTAAAATATTGTAATGTAATTGGTGCAATTTTCATTTTTTAATTGTGGGTAGGCTGTCTGTAACAACTATATCTTTAAGACATGTAACACCTCAGTCTCTCCCGTGACCATGGATGCTGTAAAGCATTCGAAACGTCGGGAACCAAAAATCAAAATAAATCCGCGAAATAATCCGAAAAGATAGTTTTTGAACATATGTTTCTCTTTTTAACCGACTTCCAAAAAGGAGGAGGTTATCAATTCGTTGGAATCTTTTTTTTCTTTTTTTTATGTATGTTCTTCGATTACTCGAATATGCCTGAACCGATTTGGATTTTTTTTTGTTTCAAAGGGTACAATATTTTAAGATATGAATATCTAATAGGTAAATATAATGTATTTCATGTATCGAAATATATTAGATTTGCTTTGCATCGGCTGGCACCGACTTCGAAAGTATCTGATTAGGTATCTATTCTAAATGAAAACCTCCGTTTAGTTATTTTTTACATTTTAGTGCCCGGAAGTCGGTTTTTATTTTTTGTTAATTTCAACTGACGACATTTCATAAAATTTAAAAACTACTTGTAAACTTATTTGAAATTTAAGAGAGGTAATCTTTTAGTTTTTTATCAAGATGGCGTAGGTTACGACAAATCAAAAATATAAGCCATTGCACTATTATGGATTTACCTATATAAAATTTTAAAAGTAGGTAAAGGATAGGAATCTGTTCATGATTTATTTTCTACGTTAGTTTTATTCGTAAGTTGTTGTTGTTACTTTTGAATTGTTATATTATGAAGTACTTATCTATACATTATTATATAATAAAATTGTAACTGAATCGAACTTTTTTGAAAATCTTATTAAAATAGGCTTTATTATCGGTACAGAGGCCGTATATATTCGGCCTCGAATTCTCTGCTTTTAGAAATTTTGTCTGTCTGTCTGAACGCATCACGGTAAAAACACTGGACAGATTTTGATGAAATTTAGTATGATGATAGCTGGTTATCCGGGTCAACATATAAAATACTTTTTACTACGAGAAAATATCTCATCTCGGAGAAATCTACAATAACCGGTTAAAACGCTAGTTTGATTTGTATAGTTAAAGTTGATTCATACTACACGTATTTAAAAGTGAACAATAACGATTATCGGCTTCTTTAAAAGCCAATGCTTTTGGACATAAATAGATCTCATATGCATTTATTGCAAGTTGGGGGAGTACCTACTAATTAACTATATGAAATTTGAAAAATTAAAAAAATCATTAATTAAACGTGTATTATTTAAGTTATTTACGTAAAACACTGTATTTATGATGATAAGTAGTATTATGTGAAAATAAATGCACTTAATATATATTCTCTTTTGCATTTCTAATATACGTCTGCATCGCAACTATATCGCCGGCAGTGAAACTTTGTACGTTTGTTGATTTTGTAACTTTGTTTGTGGACTTTGTAACGTTTGGATATTCCATCCATAATGTAATACAATTTAACAATTCATTTAAAACTAGTAATACGCTAGAAATTCTTGTGGTCTCCATTTAAACTGTTTAATTTGTGCTATCTTATAATATTAAATGAGCAAATCTTGTATTGTATATATTATAAAATTATTTCATGCATCTCGAAAACGGCTGTAACGATTTCAATCAAATTTTGTATTTAGATAAGGCTTTGATTTCTAAAAAAAAACAATTTTTACATCTTCTCCAAATATTCGCCGAGCGAATCTCACTCGCGCAAGTACTCGCTCGCAGGGACGTACTCGCTCGAATAAAGGACAATACATATTATTATCATAACGCCATCAAC